AATATACCGCGCCATTGACTATATATAAATATTCAATACTTAGAGGATTAAATCACGTGTTATGCAGTAGCATATTGCTGATTTGCCTTTAATATTAGAAACATTTGTGATTTATGTAGTTGTACAAAGAGCAAACCAGTGTTGTTTTGCAAATTTTTTTAGCAAGAAAACTCAGCACTCTAAAGGCATCATCAACAAGCTGTAAGTGCAATCCTAACAGAATGAATACTAAAGAACAAAAATTCCAATTTTTTTGATATTTATCAAGACATCATACAAAAGCCAAATCAAATTATCTAATCTACAACAAGCAGTAAATAGTTCGTTTCCTAACTTAAGTATGTCACAATGTTCAGGTATAAATAGTAAAAAGATAATCATAGTTTACAATGATCTACTGTTGGTTCTACATATAAGTATACAATAAAATATGTTATACCAACTGTTCTTGGGTATAACACCTGTCGGTTATAAGATTAAAGGTTCCTGAAATTTACAACAACTTACAAAATCAACTTTCAAATGTTTATTACTATAATGCATGTTTAGATTTTGTCAATTATTATTGGCTCAATCTTCAATTCTGCCATGTCATGGTCGTCATCTTTACTGCCAAGCTCATTTCCTTTTGGATCAGTTCATGAGCTTTAAGAAAAATAACGCCTAAGATTAATGATGGATGCCCAATTAGCTTGGCCAATTCTCGTTTTTATGCAAATTTGTTCAACACCTTGAGATAATGTGTTATTTTCAATAGAACCATTTAGGGAAACAGGCCCTCGGATGTAATCACATTGTCTTATGTGTGAGAACAAATTCTTGGGTAAATTACCAATACCATGGTTACTTGAGCGAAAATACTCAACAATCAATTTCCAATCTTCTTCTTTTTCAGCACTGGATAAATCAATTTCTTTAAACTTGCTCAGTTTTTGAGGACTCACATAAAACATGATAATAGCTGGATGTGTACTGCTCAATCCATATTGCTCTAATGAGAACTTTGCATTATTTACCATGTAGAAACCTGCTCCATCAGAGAAGTCTGATTTCTTTCGACCAAAACCCAGCACAATTCCAATTTCCAGAATATCCACAGCACTTTCGTGATCAGTACAATGGAAATATACTTCTGTCTCAGGATTATTTTCATTTAGTTCAGCAACTTTTGATCCAACATGGTGTAGGGCATCTTCTTGCGATGCAACATTGATCATATTTATAGGATGACTATGTCTTCCCTCTTCATCTAAACGTGGGATATTCACAGTAAACCATTCATTTTGATTATCATTTTTGAAAGGAAAATACGAAACTTGATCATTTAAGAAGATATCATACTTAAAATGATTTTCAATGTAAGTTTCCACCCAGGATAAAATTGGTTTGTGATTCGGATCTGCCATGTTGGTTATCCACTTAGCAATAAATTCAGATCGATGCTTTGTAAAACCAATCTTGCACAAGATTTTAGCAACCTTTTCACCATCTCTGAGATTTTTTATGCTGTCTTCTTCCTTAAAGTCCTTTAAAAATCCTAGCAAATGTACCTTTTCACTTTTGTGTTTTCTCATGTAAGGAGTTAGTTCGAGAAGCCTGCAAGCAAACTCATCTTTCAAACCAAGCACTGAGCACAGAACATCTTCTGGGGTGATATCCAAGTCAAAGAGATCATTTATCTCAGGATGGTTTAGATTGGAAATGGCACTTTCTATACTACTCAAAGCATTATCAAGATTAAATTCATACACATACTGAATTGTAATTTCTTGCTTAAAGCCACAAAATTGTTGTAGATCAGATTTATTTCATCGAGAAGCTTGGTTAACTTGTAGAGATCTACTTTTAGATCATTCAGTTGATTTATCTTTTCATAAGTGAGTTTGCCTTTATCAGACAATAATGTCTTTACCTTGTCCAACAAGATACAACAAAATACAAGACACTGATGAAGAACACAAAATGAGCGAATTAAGTGGCGGTCAGTTTTACCAGCACTTTCATGTCTGTCTAGGGTACGCAATTGGGAACGCCAGTCGCCAAGAACAGTCACATATTTCTCAACATCTTCATTGTTTTTAGTAGTTCGCTTTTCCTTGATTTTAAAACGTTCACGTTTCCCAATGATTGGATATTTATTCATCCTAAAAGCCTGGAAGAAGAACGGATAAAGAAAACATGAAGTCACACTTAAACATATGACACAAATCGATATTTAAAGTGCTCACAAAAACCGCGTGCTCTCAAATAGACTCGTCTTTGAACGTTTATTTATAAGAATCAAAATGCTTAAAACAGAAGTGTAAAATGCTTTCATGAAAATAGTACATTATAAACTTACGTTGGAAAATTTCCACGCTACAGAAGTATGCGAGGGCAGCAAAGATGAAAGGACAGATTAAATATAAAACTATATCACATTTACCATTACTCAAAAAATGATTGCCTTACACTGCATTTCAGCCAATCCGGTTGTGCTGCTTCAGGCGTCATCTAGGCGTCATCAGGCGTCATAAAATAAACACAATGCGGTGCGGTGATTGGTCAAGAGCTTGAATAAGTCCCACTCGACACGAGGAAATACATTAAACCATTTATGAAATCATTCTGCATTTGTGTAGCAGTTTACAATATCTTCTCGTTGTTTTTAAATAACCAGAATTTACCATTATTATTTGGCTTGTTTTGAAATCAACTGCTTTAGTCTACTAGGAACACTTCGAGAGAAAACGGTGAGCGGTTTGATGTTAAAACCACTGTCAAAACTGTTACATCAAAAATTATCATTCCATTCAAAGTTAATAATGACATAGATAAAAAAAATAAATATATATTTTACATACAAAAGTTTAAAGAAAGTTATTAAATAGCTACATTAATTAATTGTCAATAAGTTACACAAGATGAAAACAAATATGTCCTTGAAAGTTTCCGTTTTTGAAACAAGATGCGTTTTCAAGTGCTTACATTTTACACTATTATATAGTGAATGGTTATTTTTACGATGATAAATAATGAATGCTTATTTCTATACTAAGGCCCGGTTCACACGGCACATTTTACATGTGTCATAAGCATTCAAAACAAAAGAAATTGAGACGAAATTCCTCGTTCTCTTTTGTTTTAAACGCATTCGGCTCATGTAAAATGCGAAAGTTATTTGTCAATAAGTTACACAAGATGTAAACAAATATGTCCTTGAAAGTTTCCGTTTTGAAACAAGATGCGTTTTCAAGTGCTTACATTTTACACTATTATATAGTGACTGGTTCTTTCTATACTTAGATAAGTTTTAATCGCGGCATTTTACATACGCCAAATGCATTCAAGACACAAAATATTAGATAAATTCCTCGTTCTCTTTTGTTTTAAACGCATTCGGCTCATGTAAAATGCGACTTTGAAAACGCACCTGAAAATTGGCAACTAATACATTCTGATTTAAACTTCTTCTTGTGTTGACTGAACATTCAACACAAAATCATTCAGCTCCATGGAATATCCATATTCTCTTATCAAATCCAAGACATGAGGTAAAAAATTGAATTCCTCAATTAGAGTCTCTTGTATGGGATGACGTCTTCCACCATTTTCTATTCCTGACGTCATTTCACCAAGACGATTTTGAACATTTTGTTCACCATTGCTTGCGTCACGTTCCCCATGTTCCAACCTTCTCTTGTTGTAGAATTTCTTGCAAAGCTTGCAACCCATGTCTATATTGGTATAAATTATAATAACGTAAATGCTCGCTTTTGTACCGTGGCGCTCCCAAGAAAATAACAAGTATACAAAATCTATTTTATGATTTAATATTATATAACTTGATGAAAAAAATGTCACACAGGCGCAAAATAAGGTTGTTATAAACTTTAAAGTTTAATAATTCTATCACAGAATAGATACGTAACAGAAGCGCCACTCAGCGAAAAATCTGTCCCCCACTTGCACCCAGTTCTCAAATGCGCATCCGTTGCGTCCGCCATTACTCCAGCCAGATAAACTGGCCAGAATGTATATATGTTAATATTATGAAGAGTTGTTTTTCGAAAAGTTGACGAATGTAAATTCACTTATGGACAAAATTTTAAATGCCATCGGACAGGATGCAAAGGATATGAGGTGAGAAACAGTTTTGTTGTAAAATACGTTCGTCAAATAAAATTTTACGGGTTTTATAGTTAGTTTCTTGCTTTCAATTGTATGCGAGATCCATATTTAGAACGTTTCTTACATTGAACAACAATTCCCAAAAATTTTTTTAAAATACCCGGGATTGAGAACTCAAAACAGGCGAACATCAAAGGCTCCCACATCGAGTGGCGCCTGTGTACAATCCTTGTGACGGAAGTGAAAAATTGCTGCAATATGTAAATTGTTGATGCGAAAATTCTAATTAAGTTACTTTGCTGTCAACCACTTTTTAAGATTTTTAAGTCAGAGTTTACTGTCTTTTCTAGTTCAACTGTATCATTATTTGAAGCGGTTAAGCAGTTATTACGCGTTAGATAGTTTGAAAATCTGAAAAATTCATTCATAAATTTTTTTTGAGCATTGTAAATTTATCCTGAAATTATAACCCAACATTAGCTCAATGGCAAATAAACAAGAAATTTCAAACATTCTGTATGATACACCATTTATAATAATAATAAACTTAAATTATTAGTGAGATGATTTAATGATGGTGGAGAAGAACATGAAAGCTATAAACGACACTGAAATTAAGGGACGTAGTAAGGAGGACGGGCAGGCACATAAACATGCTATCGTAACTCTTACACCAACCTCTTTTACTGAAGCCAAGTTAGCCACGAAGGTAAAAATGTACAAATCAAGTTGAAAGTCGCGTTTGCACGCTTTGAAAATTGAGATAGATCTGAGAAAATAAGAATCACCTCTGTGTTAGTCGTTCGTCGTCTTCATTCGTTTGCATGTTACGTTGAATTCCAAATGCAAATTTTGCAAATTTTCCAGCGCCAAAGTCCAAAAAACCAAGTTTCCCCAACCAATCAAAATCTCGAGGAATTATGAAACCAATGAAAATCCTAACAAGGAGTCGAACGGATGTTGTCATACTTTCATTAACATCTTGACCTTCGTGTAGGAAACGAAATACATATACGATACGATATGATACATCATTGTTTCATAAAACTAGCCATATTTTCCTTTATGTTATTGTTTTCTTCATTCGTAATGTCGACATAATCATAAAGTTTTTCTCGTTTTGTGAGCTTTTGTACTTTTTAATACAGTGAACGTCATGATACACTTCCGCCTTTGAAATATTCTCGATTTCATTTGATGATATATTAAGTTAGAAAGGAGTATTAGAATTTTTCAACGAACTTCACTGACTGTATAAGTTCCGATAAAGTTGAACGTCGAGATTAAGTTAACATGAAATTTAAACTCATGGTCAGACAATGGAAAGCGACAAACTATAGCATCGACAGTCATAATTCATAACCAATTTTGATATTTTGAATCTTGGATCAATTATGATTCAAGTGACTTTTACCTTAAAAATTTCAAGGAAAATTTTCGCCGTAGGAAACTGTTAGCAATATGAAATTTAATGATCTCCTTTCTAAATATGCTTTTATTTCAACGACTTGGCATTTACAATAGTTTCACGATGACGAATGTCCTATTCAACACAAACTACATATTCAGAGCTGCAGTTTAACCCGAACAGGGACCTTCAAAACTGCCTCGCGAAATACTGACAATGAAATATCTATTTCGGATCGTCTATAGAAAATAATTGATGTTTGTAATGTATAGGGTTTGAATGGTGTTTGAAGTTAAGCAAATTGTTGTTCAAGACAACTGTAGGTAGTGTATGATTACAATAAAACACAGCAAGTTTTAAAACAAACCACAATCATTTATGCTTCATCTTGTTCTTCTTCATCATCAGGATTATCATCATCACCATATCTGTGACAATCTTTGGCTGAACAGATAACAATGATAATCAAAGGTAGAAAGTTATAGCTTAAATTTATCATTTAAAATCAACAAATTTCTTGCATGAATGCAAAGTCATGGCAATAGGATTTACAAGTACATTTCAACCTCTAACCTTGATTGGCATGTATCTGACATAATGAGAAGAACTGACAAAATAAACACAAAAGTAGATTGCTAAGCTCTTGGTCAGTAATGATCAAGGTTAAAAATCTGTGGGTAAAGTGAAGGTTTGAATCAACAATCGACTTGTAATGTGCCAATCACACAATGACTTGCAAGGATGGTATGGAAGGTATGTGGATAATATGGTGATTGCATGAGGATAATATATAGTGATGGTACTAGGTTGATATGGTATGATATGAGGAACACATGGTGGTAGTACAAAGATAATGTGGTGATTGAGGATTAAATGGTATGATATGAGGATCACATGGTGGTAGTACAAAGATAATGTGGTGATTGTTTGAGGATTATATGGTATGATATGAGGATCACATGGTGGTAGTACAAAGATAATGTGGTGATGGTTTGAGGATTATATGGTATGATATAGGATCACATGGTGGTAGTACAAAGATAATGTGGTGATGGTTTGAGGATTATATGGTATGATATGAGGATCACATGGTGGTAGTACAAAGATAATGTGGTGATGGTTTGAGGATTATATGGTATGATATGAGGATCACATGGTGGTAGTACAAAGATAATGTGGTGATGGTTTGAGGATTATATGGTATGATATAAGGATCACATGGTGGTAGTACAAAGATAATGTGGTGATGGTTTGAGGATTATATGGTATGATATAAGGATCACATGGTGGTAGTACAAAGATAATGTGGTGATTGAGGATATGGTATGATATGAGGATCACATGGTGGTAGTACAAAGATAATGGTGATTGAGGATTATATGGTATGATATGAGGATCACATGGTAGTACAAAGATAATGTGGTGATTGAGGATTATAGGATATGGAGGATCATATGGGATGATGGATGGAGGATGATATGGATGGTATGGACAGAAATGATGAGTGATGGATAGGATATAAGGACATGGAAGGATGATGGTGGTATGGAATGGATGACTGGTGATGGTTTGAGGATGATATGGTATGATATGAGGATCACATGGTGGTAGTACAAAGATGATGTGGTGATGGTTTGAGGATGATATGGTATGATATAAGGATCACATGGTGGTAGTACAAAGATGGTATAAAGATGATAACAAGATGTTAAGGACATAATATGCACATGGAATAAAATGATACAGAAATTGATAACAGAAAGTTCGAGGGATGGTACTTTATACTTAGAACAAATGTACCTTTCTTGTTCATAATGACTTCTTTAATGGTTTTGATTGAAGTTTCCAAAGCTTTTAAACCTTTATCTCCATTCATTGTTGTCGTTTTGACAACATAGGTTGGTGGTGAAATATGATTTATCTTAAAGAACAAGACAATTTATTCGTAAATAATCGCTGTGCTCTGTACAATCTTAACTTTAATTTTACAAACAATATTTCCTAAACATACATACAAGAACATACAGAAAATAAACATTTGAACATATTTATTCACACTTGACACAAACCTTATGAGATCAAGCACAGAATGAATGTATTGCTTCTACTTTTTCTTCGTTTGGTTCAGTTTTTCACGTTAACATTTCCAAGTTTAACACAAATAACTAAAATATTCCCCAAAATGGCGGTTAAAATTTTTGTCATAAGACATGAACAACGAAATGCCACAGAGTGGATAACGTTTTATTTACAATAAACAGAGAAAGACAAAGAAAATAAACTCAAAGTTTCGAAATTTCAAAATATTCATGCTCGCTTGCGTCAAAAGTTCACAAAGATGGCAAAAAGTTCATATTACATCTAATTTTTAAGATCGGAAGTTAACGGATTAATTCGGACATTTCCGGAAAACCTTGGAAATTTTTGAATACTCTCGGAAATATTCGGAAAACATCGGATTATCTTAAAATCGTCGTTGTTTTGAAAGAACTGTCCAGCTATGAAGATTTTCTTTTCATTGAACTATGATTTATCTATACATTCTTTATGAAAATGATGAAAATATAAAAATGCATAATATTTAGAAAAGTTCACAAAAAGTTCACAAACTTTTAATGTTCATGAAGAGAGCACAAAGTTCACAAATCTGTGAACTTTGTTCACGATCTGGCAGCACTGAGTCTAGCACATTGCTAAAAGAGCATTTAACATAACATTTCTTGACTAAAAGAAATATAACTGCATTTATAATAAGCAGAGAATGTAGACTCCACAATTGTAAAGTTTTCTGAAAGTTCACTTTTTAATTATAAATGTAAAGGCATGGCAGTAGGATTCACAAGAACATTTCAACCCTCTGACCTTTGTTGGCTTGCCAGCATAATGAGAAGAACTGACAAAATAAACACAAAGTAGTTTGCTAAGCTATTGTTGATGAATGATCAAGGTTAAAAATATGTTTAAGTAAAAGCACATAAAGAAATAAACTGAATGTATAAAACAAACTTTTTTATTACAGGCATGTTTCGGCAAACTTATGCCATCATCAGTGTAAATGAATGTGTTACAAAATGTGATAGCTACTTAAATATATAAATAGAGATAAACGACTCACAGTTAACTGAGATGAGGATAGTAAAACTATAAAACATATAAGGTGAAGGGTTATTTCTAAATATAAAGGTTCTGATAAATTGAGCCAAAGTTGATTTAAAGCTCTTCTGGTATATAAGGCGAACAATTGGATTCTTCCATACCGCTCTCTTGAATGGGAGTAGCAGTAACATTTCCCATTTCCACGGTAACTTCACCAATACTTTCTTGAAAGTTTTCCTCACCATTGTTTTCCTCATTTTCTGAGCTTCTCAAGTTGGTCGAACTTTTATTAGGCTTGTTATCCATGGCTATGTTTGTATAAAATCAAGATAAGAAGTCTTTATTTACGGAAATTTTCCATACAATACACTACTTTAAAAGTTAATCGATAATGTTATAAAATTTGATTTCAATCTTACAGACAACCAAAGTATTTCATACACGATCGTGTAACAAGTATAGGAAAGAGGATTCTGAGACAAGTGGTGCCTTTAATTCGTTGCATTTGACAGCAACTATTAACAGACGCAAATATAATCAAACATTTTTCTGGCCGAGTGAGCGCCTAGTTATATGAAATAAGTATTTTTGTAACATTCCCAAGAATCGTAAAATAAATAAAGCGGCGTAGAAAATTGCATGCAAGTATGAACATAGCCCCCAACAGAAGTGAGAATAGGTTCAAATAGACAATTGAATATCCCTATCTTATGTCGTGAGGGCTTGAGCGCAAAATTTTGGAGTTAAATTTGGGATAATTTTCAACTTTACAAAAAGGTATGAAACAAGATTAAAGCATGGCAGCTAAAATTAATGAACATTCGATACATTCTGCATAAGGTCAAAATTCAGCAATTTAAAAATTTACATGATGTTGAATTGTATTGAACATAACGTCAGAAAAGCCTAAACTAGCTTGTACTACCCATTAGAAATCCAAACCATGCAATTTTGTATAAATTCACTAACAACCCTAAAATGCAATAAGTATAAAGCTAAACTACTCTTTGAAAATTGAAAAAAACCCGCAATTTTGTACAAATTCAGTAAGTATACTAATAATAAACCAAAACATATCTTGTAACTTTAGCTAAATAAAGAGTAACAAAATTTAGCTCGAGTAAAAGTATGAGTTCTCTTGTAAACAAAGTACCTGTTCTTGAGAAACCACAAATAAGAAAAAAAGGAATGAAAAATTGCTTTTATTCCTTGAGTAACTCATACACTTGTGGTCTTGTGCAAACTAACAAGGTTATTCCTTGAGTAACTCATACACTTGTGGTCTTGTGCGAACTAACAAGGTATCAAGTATGTGAAGTATATGGGGGAGTCAAGAAGTATATGACACAATTCAGTAGAAAACAGCCAAAAGCGCGCATGATCTATTGTCTAGTGGTATAAGTGGTCACGGCCAGGTGGTTATCGTATAAAATATTGCATCGTATTATATTTTGCATGTGTTCATGCATGGACAACAATGCAAAATATATATTGTGTTTCTTGCCGCCTTTCAAAGTCAGTTGAGACAACTAAAGACGACATTTTTGTTTGAGAAATTAAATACCGGCATTCAGGAGCATTCTGCCTCTGAAATTTTAGGAAAAATTGCTTTATTAAATCACAATGAAGGTAATATTGTTCAACATCCAGCGGCGTCAAGTCAAAGAACAAACTGAAAGATTGTATCGACTTAAATGGTACGAGATGGTTAATAAAATTTAGTATCATTGCAAAAATCTATCATCGGTTATAAGCGAAAAGCTGACAGAGAAGCCCATTGAAAATAACTGCAGTGTCTCACAAATTTCTCCCATCGTCGACCCAAACAAGATGAAGGATACCGGTTACTTATGCGGAAGGTTTTGTCAACAACATCACGACAAAGTAAACTTTCAAGCTAAAATTTTGTTGCTTTTTGTTAAAGGTAGCGTATCTACGTCTATGTAATCTGAAAATAAAGTTGTTTACTTGCATTTGAATGAAGCAAATGCTAATGTTCAATGTGCGATAGGCTTTGGTAAAGTTGGCAAAGATGCTTACATAGACTGCGGTCAAGCATATGTTGTAGTTGCTTCTCACTGCAGCTTTTGTCATGTCAAAATACTGGATACTTTTCTATTAAAAATTTTTCAACAATATTTATCTGAATCATCTGATACTTGGGAACATACTTCACTAAAGTTGGCTTAATATTTCATGAAATAATTCACAAAGTTTTTTGTAATTAGTTCAATTCCAAAGACTCGTGAAATAAAACACTTTCATTTTGTTCATTCAAATGTACTTGGTATGATTGTAATATAATTGATACTATTGATTTGTATTTGCACCCGTTTTCTAAACAGGAAGTTTGCAATAGTTTTGGAACGAGAATTTGGCACATTTTTTAGCACATTTCATTTTCCATATGTAAGATTTATAATGGCAAAGCTCGGCAAAGACCTAATACTATAAAATAAGACAAGTGCATCTGTGAATGTTGCTTCTTTGCACAATAAACATCAGCATTTGCTTGTTTCAAATACACATAAACAACTTTATTTTCATATTTAATGAACATAGAAACGTGATTCTCAACGAAAATCAACAAATTTTTATCAAAACCTTCGACAATGACAAGCGAAATTTCGTCCAATTTTTGAAACGTAGTGCGGATGTTTTTAATAAGTTTGTTCGCCAGCATTTTGTCGTTTGCCGATGGCAGCCATTGCAATGTTATAGCACAATTCATACCATCGACACTAATACTATCTTTCCGTTTATTCTTTGCCACAGGTTGTTAAACAACGTCAACTTTTCGTTAGTTGTCCATATCATGTCTAAAGCAGTTTTTTCCGAAATTTTTAGACGTAGAACACTCCCGAACCTCCGTATTCAAAAGCACTGGTGTCTTCAAGAGTCTTTATTGACTTGAAAAGGCGACAAAATACGGCATATCACCGACTTTAGCTTTGTTTATGCCACATAAAAATGTATTGTGGCTGCAGATTATGCGCATATCAACAAGATTACTTAGTCACGTGAGCTTCGAGTTATGCTTCGGAAAATTTTACAACTGGTCAAGGAAAAATTTCACAACTGTTATGGCATTTTCATTATCCGTCAAATAGTTTATGCTGAATATATAACCCAACTTTAGCTCAATGGCAAATAAACGAGAAATTTCTAACATTCTGTATGATACACCATGTATAATAATAATAAACTTAAATTATTAGTGAGATAATTTAACGATGGTGGAGCAAAACATGAAAGTTATAAACGACACTGAAATTAGTGAATGTAAATCGTAACTCTCACACCAACCTCTTTTACTGAAGCCAAGATAGCCACGAAGGTAAAAATGTACAAATCAAGTTGAAAGTCTCGTTTGCACGCTATGAAAATTTAGATAGATCTGAGACAATAAGAATCCCTTGCCTCTGTGTTAGTGGTCCTCTTCTTCGGCACGTTCGCACGTTCTGTAAACTTCACAAACAACAGAAAGGAGTTTTCCCCAAACCTACCAATCAAAATCTCGAGGAATTATTGAACCAATGAAAATCCTAACATGGGGTCGAACGAATGATGACATCATATATACGAAATGGGCAGCCCGCTAGGCTTTGTACGACGTCTTGATCGTTTAATTCATTTGTACAATCAAGGCAAATGTAAACAAAGTGCTTGAATTACTATTTAGTCACATGACTTTTAGGCGGGAAAATGAATAACAATGAAGTAAAGGCAGGTAGTTTCCTTTTAAGGTGCGGGGGACCCTTGAATGATAACTTTTTGATTTTTCGACTCGGGCAACGAAACGAAATACATAGGCGATACGATACGATACGATACATCATTGTTTCATAAAACTAGCCATATTTTCCTTTGTTACAAATGCTACAAATTTTCTTTATGTTACAATTGTTTACAAATGCTTTATGATTATGTCGACATTGCGAATGGAGAAAACTATTGTTTTGTGAGGTTTTGTACTTTTTAATACAGTGAACGTCATGATACACTTCCGCCTTTGAAATTTCAAATATTCTCGATTTCATTTGATGATATATAAAGTTAGAAAGGAGTATTAGAATTTTTCAACGAACTTCACTGACTGTATAAGTTCTGATAAACGGCAAAGGTGAACGTCGAGATTAAGTTAACATGAAATTTAAACTCAGGGTCAGACAATGGAAAGCGACAAACTATAGCATCGACAGTCATGATTCATAACCAATTTTGATAAGATATTTTGAATCTTGTATCAATTATGATTCAAGTGACTTTTAACTTAAAAATTTCAAGGAAAATTTTCGCCGTAGGAATTTGTTAGCAATATGAAATTTAATGATCTCAATATCCTTTCTAAACATGCTTTCATTTCAACGACTTGACATTTACAATAGTTTCACAATGACAACTGTCCTATTCAACACAAACTACATATTCAGAGCTGCAGTTTAACCCGAACAGGGGACCTTCAAAAACTGCCTCGCGAAATACTGACAATGAAATATCTATTTCGGATCGTCAATAGAAAATAATTGATGTTTGTAATGTATAGGGTTTGAATGGTGTTTGAAGTTAGACTAATTGTTGTTCAAGACAACTGCAGGTAGTGTATGATAAAAATAAAACACAGTAAGTTTTAAAACAAACCACAATCATTTTGCTTCATCTTTTATTCATCATCAGGATTATCATCATCACCATCAACTTCTGCATTTTGACGTTCAAGTTTTTCTTATTCCTTTGCAAAGTCTGCTTCATCCATATTTGTGAGAACCTTTGGCTGAACAGATAAAAATGATAATCAATAATAGAAATTTATAGCTTAAATTTATCATTTGAAATCAACAAATTTCTTGCATGAATGCAAAGTCTTGGCAATAGGATTTACAAGTACATTTGAACCTCTAACCTTGATTGGCATGTATCTGACATAATGAGAAGAACTGACAAAATAAACACAAAAGTGGATTGCTAAGCTCTTGGTCAGTAATGATCAAGGTTAAAAATCTGTGGGTAAAGTGAAGGTTTGAATCAACAATCGACTTGTAATGTGCAAATCACACAATGACTTGCAAGGATGGTATGGGAAGGTGCGTGGATAATACAGTGATTGCATGAGGATGTATATAGTGATGGTACTAGGATGATATGGTATGATATGAGGATCACATGGTGGTAGTACAAAGATGATGTGGTGATGGTTTGAGGATTATTTGGTATGATATGAGGATCACATGGTGGTAGTACAAAGATAATGTGGTGATGGTTTGAGGATTATATGGTATGATATGAGGATCACATGGTGGTAGTACAAAGATAATGTGGTGATGGTTTGAGGATTATATGGTATGATATGAGGATCACATGGTGGTAGTACAAAGATAATGTGGTGATGGTTTGAGGATGATATGGTATGATATGAGGATCACATGGTGGTAGTACAAAGATGTGGTAATGGTTTGAGGATGATATGGTATGATATGGTTCAGATGGTGGTAGTACAAAGATGATGTGGTGATGGTTTGAGGATGATATGGTATGATATGAGGATCACATGGTGGTAGTACAAAGATAATGTGGTGATGGTTTGAGGATGATATGGTATGATATGGTTCACATGGTGGTAGTACAAAGATGATGTGGTGATGGTTTGAGGATGATATGGTATGATATGAGGTTCACATGGTGGTAGTACAAAGATGATGTGGTGATGGTTTGAGGATGATATGGTATGATATGAGGATCCCATGGTGGTAGTACAAAAATGGTATGAAGATGATAACAAGGTGTTAAGGCCATAATATGCACATGGAATAAAACGATACAGAGATTGATAACAGAAAGTTTGAGGACGTTACTTTATACTTAAAACAAATGTACCTTTCTTGTTCATAATGACTTCTTCAATGGTTTTGATTGAAGTTTCCAAAGCTTTTAAACCTTCTTCTCAATTCATTGTTGTCGTTTTGACAACATAGGTTGGTGGTGAAATGGGATTTATCTTAAAGAACAAGACAATTTATTCGTAAATAATCGCTGTGCTCTGTACAATCTTAACTTTAATTTTACAAACAAAATTTCCTAAACATACATACAAAAACATACAGAAAAGAAACATTTGAACATATTTATTCATACTTGACACAAACCTTATGAGATCAAGCACAGAATGAATGTATTGCTTCTACTTTTTCTTCGTTTGGTTCAGTTTTTTTCACGTTAACATTTCCAAGTTTAACACAAATAGCTAAAATACTCCTCAAAATGGCGGCTAAAATTGTTGTCATAAAGCACGAACAACGAAATGCCACAGAGTGGATAACGTTTTATTTACAATAAGCAGAGAAAGACAAAGAAAATAAACTCATTTTTAGTTCATTTTCAAAGTTTCAAGTCAGTTTTCATAAATTCAAAATATAATGTTCATTCTCAGTTGTTTGTTGACTAGTTCACAGTCCTCTGACCGAGCGCAATGAATAATTATCATTGCTAAATGTTTAAAATTCTATATGATAAATTACAATAGACAGAACATTGAATATCAATCTAATAATAGAGCACACAAAGCAAAGAAATGCTAGGCAACCAAATTAATCAAAATATTGATATTTAAAATTATCGTTTGCTACACTCAACAAGATATAAATTATTATTGCTATAATAATTATCATTGCTAAATGTTTAAAATTCTATATGATCAATTAAAATAGACAGAACATTGATTGTCAATCTAATAATAGAGCACACAAAGGAAAGAAATGCTAGGCAACCAAATGAATCAAAATATTGATATTTAAAATTATCGTTTGCTACACCCAAAAATATCTTTTTCCTAAAATAAAAATACAGAGAAAAGCCCAAAGCTCTCAAAAAAATCCAAGATTTTTGGTTTCGATTTCAAAAGTTCGTAAAATTGTTTGCTTTGAAAGTAAGAACATATTCAATATTTAAGATCATTGACTTGTAATAAACTATTGAATAAGTCCAACTAAACAAGAGATAAATGCAACACTCAACAAGATAGAAATAAATTAAATAGTCCATTCAAATATTCTGCATGTGTATGACAGTGTACAATATCTTCTCTGTTTTTAACAGTAACCAGAATTTACCATCATTATTTGGCTTGTTTTGTAATCAACTACTTAGGAACACTTCAAGAGAAAACGATGAACGATTACATCGAAAATTATCATTCCACTCAAAGTTAATAATGACATAAATAGAAAAATAAATATATCTTTACATACAAAAATTTAAGGAAAGTTATTAAATAGCTACATTAATTAATTGTCAATAAGTTACACAAGATGCAAACAAATATGTCCTTGAAAGTTTCCGTTTTGAAACAAGATGCGTTTTCAAGTGCTTACATTTTACACTATTATATAGTGAATGGTTATTTTTACGATAGTATATTGAATGGTTCTTTGTATACTTGAGACAGTTTTAAACTTAGATAAATTCCTTGCTATCTTTTGTTTTAAATGCATTCGGCTCATGTAAAATGCAACGTTTGAAAACGGACCTGAAAATTGGCAACTAATACATTCTGATTTACATTTCTTCTTGTGTTGACTGAACATTCAATACAAAATCATCCACGCTTCCATCGAATATCCATATTCTCTTATCAAATCCAAGACATGAAGTAAAAAATTGAATTCCTCCACGAGAGTCTCCTGTATGGGACGACATCTTCTACCATTTTCTATTCCTGCCGTCACTTCTTCAAGATTATGGTGAACAATTTGTTCACCATTGCTTACTTCATGTTCCCCATGTTCCAACCCTCTCTTTTTGTTGGATTTCTTGCAAAGCTTGCGACCCATGTCTATGCTGGTATAAAATGAAGTTAAAAAGTCTTTATTCACGGAACTTTTCCCTGCGAGAATTTAAAAGTTAATTGATAATGTTTAAAATTTGATTTTAATCTTACTGACAACCAAAGTATTGATACACGATCGCGTAAGAAGTATAGGAAAGAGGGATTCTGAGACTATTAGCGCGGGTAGTGTTTTAATTCGTTGTGCTATTTGGCAATTATTAAAACTAGAAGTTGCTATCGCAAGGGGAGTGCTGCCCCGACCCTTGTCCGGAAAAAATTTTGCAGGGTTCAGCCGTGGTCACAGCCATTGGAATCACCTCCGTGTACAGCATTCTAGGTGGTTTCATACATACGTTATGATTGGGTGATTAGAATGATAGACAAAGAAATTTTACAAGCGTGTCTCTTTAACTTTTAGCTTTGCGTAGTCAAGGTTTATTTCGCCATGTTTAGAGTTTTCTTTCTATCTGAAGGCCTGTTTACACGTTCCGATTTGTCAGATCCGATTGTTTCGGCTCCGTTTTTTGATTGCTTGTTCAGACGGTCAGATAGTTTTGTTGATATTTAGATACGTTTAGATTTTTATAATCTTGAGAGCAGCCATTTGTGTTGTTCAGTTATTTATCGATATATTTGCGTACTTTTCTTCTTGTTTCCAAGTCTTTTTCAAACATATATAATTTGGCTAGTCAGCTTCCTCTGATCTTGTCGGTCAGATGAGAATAGAACAAGTTCTATTTCTATCCTCTTTTTTAGATTGACGGATCCGACTGTCGGAGACTAACTTTATATGTGCTCACACGATCCGTTTTTAGGATCTGACAAAACCGGATCCGACAAATCGGATCGAGTGAACGGGCCTTTCAAACGTGCCATACCTTATTTGGTATACATGCAAACAAAGGCACGCGTTCTGAAAGTCGACAATTGATTTCCGGCAAAAAATAGCTCCCGTGCTTTTCATCTTATTTCATCTCACGTTTCAAACAATTTTAAAGATAAATTCATTACCATTTGATTGTGATTGTGAGCTCCCCCTCATTCTGTTAAGCACGTCGCACAATGGTGAACTTGCCGCGCGTACTTGTTATTCGTGACAAGTGTGATCGACAAAATTTCCTTGTGTGCGCGGAAGTTTTGAACAACATTTGCCATTTGTGACAGATCAAACGCGTTTGATATTTGACTCATCTCTCACGAATGACAAGTACGCACGGCAAGTTCACCAGTGTACGGCGGGCTTAACAGACAGACACAAATGTTCGCTTTTGCACGTAACTCTCCCAAGAAAATAACGTTTATACAAAATCTATTTTTATGATTTAATATTATACCTTGATGAAAAAAAATGTCACACAGGCGCGGTATAAGGTTGATATAAACTTTAAAGTTTAATTATTCTATTCGATTTGATTAACCATTAATTTTTTAGGAAAAAAAATGCACCTGAAATAAGGACAAACAAAATTTAGGTAGAGTAAAAAGTTTATGCATTACAAAATGTGTTTCGAACATGTTTTAAACTAATAAATAAGTCAGAGTTACCTGTTCTCCTGAAACCAAGTGAACCACTAAAAGGAAAGTGTAGGAATTAAAAATTATTTCAATTCGTTGAGTATCTTGCTGGTTTTTAAGTACCTTACTCGTGCCGCTTTATACTAAGGGGTAATAATACACAACTACCACACAATAATAACCCTCCATCATTTACATCGGAGTCTAAAACCAATCAGAATGCGTTTCTTTCATAATAATCATGCGACAAATCTTCTGCAAACCTGCACATTTTTCTCATGATATTAATATGATTGAAGTTCCTGAAACAGCAACTTAAATCGCCATAAACGGCGACTAAAAACGTGATAAAATATCAAAATTTTTGATATTGTCATTTAATTGCCAAAATGAAGTCATCTTGAATGAAAATTTAGGAATTTAAAATGGCGGCTTCAATATGTGTTCAATTACATAATCCAGAAACTATTAAATTTGATGAAAAGTTGGCTGAGGAAGTGCGTAAGTTTCCATGCTTATATGACAAAACATATAAGGATTATAAAGACAAGTTTGTCGTTCCAAATTTGGCAGAAAAGTGGCAGAAATATGGCAGAAAATCTGAATCTATTGGAAGGTAAAACAATGTAAACTAAATATAGGTGTGCTTGAGTTGCGGATTTCAAAATTGTAGAGACTGCGGATGTAGAGACTGCAGTCTGCTATAAAATATACAGCTTTCAATTTATCAAAATTTTTCTTTATTTATGTCCACTCTAAAACTAACACTAATTAGATTTTTTTTATGTCAAAATTCAGCAAAAAAAAGATATTCAGCAAGCGAAGAAATAACTTTAAAAAAGTAAATAAAACTGGAACATCTCTGTCAGCTGTTGTTTCCTCTAAAACAAAATTGGAGGACTATAATTTTCTACAGTGGTTAGTACCATACATAAAGGCTGGAGCAACAAAAACTAATTTGTCAGTATAAACTACCAGCAGCAGCTAGACAAGTAATTGTAGTTTGTTAACCAATGATGAAATTGAGCAAGTCAGCTTACTAAATGAAGACAATGACTGTCAACAAATAAAGCCAGATGAAGTATTTGATGATAAGATTACTGATATATCTGATACAACTGGACATAACGAAACGTTATTATTAAAAAACCTTTTATCTTTCTTTATTTTATAATTGTGATGGCTTTTTAAAAGTCTTATGATGGGCTATTATGTTCATATTGAAAATTCGCTTTCCGCCTGGCAAATCTCAGGCCACGATTTTGAATAAACGCTACAATAACGGAGCACTCGAAGCGTTCAGGAAATTCCAGCGTCTTGAACTCAAGCTTGGAAGAGCCAAACTCGACCTAGAGTTCCTTATAACGTGTAAGAAACGCTCAATAATACCACAATTCCTATGGTTTAAAGTTGCTCATCGCAGAATGCGATCTTCTAGCGCCTATCGACAATGTCAATATAAGTTGTTACAAGAAGAAATAAACACAAAGCCCGCTCGGATACGAGTACTGTCATCACAAGCTACGACCGCACATTCCAGACTGAATATATGCTTGTATTTAAAACCTCGTGTATATAATTTATCTCAAATAATCTGAAGATGTCTTAAGTTAAAGACGAAACGTTATTAATAAATCTTTCTTCATTTTACTATTGTGATGGCTTTTTTAAAAGTCTTATGTTGGGCTATTATGTTCATATTGAAAATTCGCTTTCCGCTTGGCGCGATTGTCATATTTTAGGTATACACATACACAAAACGAACGCAAGTCATGATCATCTTAGAAACGTTGGAAACTTTGTAAACTATATAAGATATGATTATTGTTTATGAATCTACAACAACCAGTAAATGGTTTGTGACCTTAACAATATTTTGGTGTATGCTCAATATATGACATAAAATTTACAACTTCACTTGACAATATTTAGGTGTATGCTCAATATATGACATAAAATTTACAACCTCCTCATTCCGCCGATTCCGTGCTGGGAATATCTGGGAATATCTAATTCCGTTCACAAAACGAAAGTGATTTC